TTAAGCTGAGAACAACTTAAATTTGGTAACATAAAGAAACTTTACACTTTTACTTCTCCCCACTCATATTTAAGATTGCTGAGGTCAGAATTTACATAGTATTTTTTATTCTCACCTGAGGACATGCCAATTGATACTAGAGAGAGAAAGAGAGAGAGATGGGGGGAGAGAAAGATTGATGTGAGAGAGAAACAGCAATCCATTGTCTCGTATGCACCCCAACTGGGACCAAATGGGCAATGTAAGCATGTGCCCTGGCAGGGAATCAAACCTGTGACCTTTTCAGTGTATGGTATGATGTTTCAATGGAGTCACATGAGCCAAGGCTATATCTTTTTAATATTGCGTATCCAATAATGAATTGTTATAGTTATGAAGTTTTTTTTAACTCAGTTGTTTTTTAGTTTTTGAAGTATAGTTGTAGTGAATTATGTAACACCATTATAATATCAGAGACTCTGACTTCAATGTATATTTCCAATCACAAGGATTTTTATTCATTCATATGTTTTTATTATGTTAATTAATATCCTCTTGTTATACCTTGAAGGAGGCCCCTTAACATTTCTGATAAGACAGGGCTACTTGTAATGAATGCAGTCAGCTTCAGTTTGTTTGGGAAAGTCTATTTCTCCTTCATTTCCTAAAGACAGTTTTGCTGGGTACCATTGTTAGTTAACAGATTTTTTTCTTTTAGTATGTTGACTGTATCATACGTCTCTCAAAATTTCTGTTGAGAAATCCACTAATAGCCTTATGGGGGCTTTCTTGCCTGTAATAAGTCACTTTTATTTTGCTACTTTTAAAATTCTCTCTATCTTTGACTTTTGACAATTTCCTTCGAAGTGTGTCTGTGTAGCCTCTTTCAGTTTCTACCTATTGGGTCTACTGGGCTCCATAAAGCCAAAAGTCCACTTTGCTCCATGCACATGGTAAGTTTTCAACCATTATTCTTCTAAATAGAATTTCCATTTCTTTAATTTTTCTTCTTCTGGGATTCCTATAATGATTATACAGTTTTCTAATTACTGTATTATAACTCCTGTAAGCATCTTTACTGTTTTACCTCCTTGTTTTGCTCCTCTGACTGCATAATTTTAAATAACCTATCTTCTAGTTCCTTAAATCTTTCTTCTACTTGACTAAGTCTGCTGTTAAAGCTTGCTATAAAATACCTCAGTGTATTTTATTGTATGCTTCAACGCTATGATTTCTTGTGATTTTTTATAATTTATTTATTTTTGTTAAACCTCTTATTTTATTTTTTCATTTTATTTAGCTGTCTATGGATCTTGTTCTTCATTGACTTCTTTAAGAAGATTATTCTGAATTCTTTGTTAGACAGTTTACAGATCTCCATGATTTGGGGTGGTTATTAAACCTTAGTAGTTTTTTGTTTGTTTGTTTTTGGTAGGGCCATGGTTACCCAACTCTTCATGGTCCTTGATTCCTTGTGTTGGTATCAGTGCATATAGCAAACACTCTCCTCTTCCTGAATTCACAGGCTTGCCTCATCAGGAAAATGCTCTCATCGGTCAGCTAGGTTGGAACACCGAACAGGAGAGATGATAGGACCCATAGGGAAGGGGGCATGTTATCAGAGTCTCTGTTGGGAAGGCCTTGCCTGTGCTCTGAGGGTGGTGGCTGGAAGCTGGCTGAATGTGTGGTTTGGTGGGTCTACTGGTTAGGTTCCCTGATCAGGCCAGGCTGCTGGCTGTCCACTTGCTGAGCTCTGCCATCACCTCTTGTTGGGTGACTTTTCAGGCTGTGTATCATGGTGTGGTGGTGCAGTGGGTGGACTCCGAAAATGGTCATGATCACAGGCTGAGCTTTGCAATAGCTGCTGTTTGGGTGGCGTTTGAGGCTGTTTCCTTGCCTGATGGTGTCTCTGGCTGGACTTCATGTTCAGTTGCCTCAGCTGAGGCAACAAAAAGAGCTTCGTAGTCAAACTGAGCCTTTAATGTGACCTAAGATGTTGTGAGGCCACATGTTGTTTCCTATAGCTGGCAGTGTTACAGCTTGGGCTTCACAATAAGTAAAACTGTTATCTGGGCTCTGCTGTTGGACATGGTTTTTGGCCAGATACTTTAGTGTGGAGCGGCCTCTAACTGCATCTTGCAGTTGGTTGGGATAGAGACAGTTCCAGAGTCGTGCAGGGTCACTCTCCTGGCTCCCTGATTGGGTGGGGTTACAAACTATACTCTATAACTTTCTGGGTTCATTGGCTAGGATCCATGAATGGATAAGGCCATAGGCTGTGTTAGTCAATAGAACAGGGTCATAGGCTGGTCTCTCCTACAAGGTAAAATTATAGACCTGGCTCCATATATCAGCTGAACCATAGGGTTGTTTCCATGACTGCCAGGGTTGTCTGGTCAAGCCTTCTAAATGGCCAGGACTGGAGCTACACTTAGCAGTAGAATGGCCTTCCAAATTTGTTTTTCTGGTTGGCCAGGGTACTAGAACAGGGTCCATGGTTGGTATGGTGCCACCAGGGGTCCAAGTTGGGTAAATCTGCCGAGTTCTCTGGCCAGATGGTACCACTGACTTAGCTCTGTAAGAGGGCAGGCTACTGTTGGGCTCTCTTTTTAGGGACAGCTACAAGGAGGAATGTAGTCCACTAAGGTCTGAGCGCAGGGTGCTAGAAGCCCGACCTTTGCTTGAGTTTCTAGTAGACATCTAGTAGCCAGAAATCACCTAGCTTTTTGCTTATGTTAGGCTTTTGAATCACATGATATAACAGGGATTACAACCTTTGCATCCTCAAATCTTTGCAGGTGGCACCAATCTCTGTCATTTCCTCTTTCTCCAGAAACATGACATTGCTTTCAACTTACTGTTTTTACCATAGAAAATTTCAGTTTCAGAGCCTTCCATCTGGCCTTTCCCAGGACAATTGTTCTTATTTCCTAGGTTACAGAATGATAGATTAAGTAACCAGGTTGGACAACATCTATGTGTGTCCTGATTATACATTTGGGAACATGGGAAATGACTGCTGTTTGATTCCATGGGTTGAGTGGATTCACTGCTAGATGGACATTACCTCATTACCTTACCTTTATAAATGTACTCTAACCAGGGCCTTTAAGATGTTTTGGGTCCCTACATATCAACTGAGATGCTGTATTAAAAATCCTTAATATTTCTGTCTATTTTCTTTTTCTGGCATAAAGTTACTTGACTAATTGGCCATCGGTCCCTTTGGTGAAGAACTCAAGGAATTACTACTGTGTATATCTGCACATTCATTTCTTATAAGGACTACCTTCATTTCCATCAACAGCTTCTGAGGCAGGTATTTGCTGAGATCTGGGAAGTGAGCATGGAATGTTGCTTTTTTGTTGAGGTAGCACCTCAACCATCTGATCATCTACTTTTAGTCTCTTTTGATGACATGTGTTAAGCAATATACTGTTGGCTGCTCTGTCTTGCTTATAAGAATATTATCTTGTGTTAGCTATTTCCTTAGACAACTATGGACTGGGGTTCCTCGTGTTATTCTAAGCTTGCTCCCCATTGTAGAGGTTACTCACCTTTCTCTGACAGTTAAATGCTGCCATGTACCTTCAATTGCTCTGGAATCCTATAATTTCATTTGCTACCCAGGAATCCAGCTCTGCACATCATTCCCACATTATTCCCGCCTAGAGGGGACAGTCCCACCTGACCATCTCAACATTGTCAACAGTGCATTGCTTATGCCTTGTTAAGGTGGTGTCTCTGAGGCCTCCTGAGGACACAATCACCTAATGGGTGGGTTTTCCAGCTGCAGAGAGTAGAGCCATGCCGTCTTCCTAAGGCTTTATCACTCTATTCTTTTCGTTAGCCCTCGCAAGTCTGATATTTCTTCTTTCATTTAATTTAGTGTGTACTGTGCCTATATCAAGCCTCTAAAAGCCACCCAGAATCATTGCCGTTGGAATTTGCCAAGCTAATTAAACTCTGTGGCCAGAAGAGTGTTCCTGTATCAGCCACTCACACCACCCACCAGTGCTACATTCTAACATAATTTTTCCAGGATCCACTCCCACATACAATCTCCTAGCACCTGCTGGTACATGTGCCAGTTCTGCAGCTCCATTAGAGTAAAGCACATCTTCAGCTGGCAGGCTTATCTAGTATATTCCTAGTTTGGTTATGATGAGAGAACTCTGTATATTCTTAGTTTGGGCAAGATGGGGGGGTAGGAAAGGGATCTGTCTACTAACAGGCACAGGGGACCCTTTTGAAGGCGTGTGGGTTCAGAGGGATCTAGAATTATAATTCTTAGTTCATCTACCTAGATAGCCCCATTCTGAGTTTCAGGACTTCTTTCTTTCTTTATCAGGGCCTTGACTTTGACTTTAGAGGCCACCCTGAGCTTAGAATTCAGCCTTCTCTGAAGTTCTGCTGTTCTTAAAATTAGGGCCTGAGCCAGGCCTTCCTTACTGTCTGCCTTCCAGCTGCAGGTGATAATTAACATATTTAAGTCTGTCATGTAATCCTTTTAATAATCAGTGAGCCTAGAAATAGCCACCAAATTATGCAGTTGTTGTTGGTATATTTCTGCCTTTGTGAATGGTAGACAATTTTATCAGGTAGTGTATATCTACCCCTATATCTCATTCAGTTCCTCAAAGGTGAATGTTTTTGCAACTGCCATATTTTAGCACAACTATCAGAGCTATGGTGTCCAACCTGAGGCCCATGGCTTCCATGCGGACCAGGATAGCTATGAATGCCCTCAACACAAAATTGTAAATTTAATTAAAACATTATGAGATTTTTTTGTGTGTATTTAATGTGTGGCCTAAGACAACTCTTCTTCCAGTGTGGCCCAGAGACTCCAAAAGTTTGGACACCCCTGGCAGTGATCTAAGTCAGAGTTCCATGCCTAGGGCTGGCTTGCTAGACCATTATGTTAAGTTGGATTCCCTAAAGGTAATGTCTGAGATTAAGTCTCTTAAGTAAGTGATTTATTGTGAGCATTCTCTGAGGAGGAGGAGGGGTAAGGGAAGCGGGATACTGCGGTGGGGAGAGCTAAACAAGGGCATACTCATAGCTGGACAATGGCTCTATCCTGATTTGTAGAGTACAGGAACACAAATCACTCCACTTGGTTGGTTCAACGTTTAGGAGGGAACCAACCCCCAGGCCAAAGTGATGTAATGCTCAGGTGAACCTGACTCCATTTAGCCCAAAGCAGTACATTGGGGAGAGGTGGCTACAGCAGCAAGCCCTCACAGCAACAGGGGGATAAGAAATCTGCCTGATAGTGCGATTTTCAGGGTAGCAACAGCATCCACTACACCAGCGAATTGCTCAAGTTTGTTTCCTGAATAGCAAAGATCTTTTTGAAATTCTTCTCAAATTCTTTCTTAGTTAAGTCTGAGTCATTGCACTGTAAAAAAAAAAAAAAACAGATAAAAATAAAGACGATCATTATCAGTGTCATTAGACACTTTGCAACTGAAAATGATCAGGTCTCTTATCTTAAATACCTAAGTTACATTAACCCAGTTAAGTTTAAAGGCACATGCAAGAGCAACTTTTGTTTCCTGAGAGCATGATTACTTCTTGTTGACTAGACCGAAATGGGAAATCATTACTACACCTGAGGACTCTTACTCTTTAGGTTTGGATTGTTTGTTTCAGTGAGAATTAGAAAAGTAATCTAAGATCTTACTAACAATCGAGTATCACAGATGTCTATGTACAACCAGTGATCTTCCTTTCACGTTGTCACTTCTATTCCCCTATGGTGTCCCCTGTTAACTATATGGTCCACTCACATATCAAAGGACTCTGCAGTTTGGGGTTTCTGGGAGGTCTGATTGAGTATATTTGGGGAGAGACATAAAAAACAACAACATGACTTTAGGACACAATCTTCTCCTTAGGCTTGGAGCAGGGAGGAAGTGACTATTCTCAATGGGCACCTGTCACCTTTTCTGAGGGGAATGAGCTCTCAAGGGCCTGGGAGTCTGGTTGCAGGGAAACCTTCTCACTCACTGTTACTCTCCCTGGTGAGCTTATGTCCTTAATTTAAAACCTACTTGCTTCCTAAACCCTTGTTTGTATATAGCCTTTCATAAAATGAGGGAAACTAAAATTTCCCAGCACCAGGAAATGAAGGCAGAGTGACTGAATGGAAAGACAATGAAATGAAAGCAGGAAGGACACTTACCTCAGGGACAGTAAAGAAATTGTTCATGGCTTGCACAAAACCATTCACTTCAGAATACGTTTTGTTAGTGAGATGGCTCTTGATATCATCCAACTTCCTAAGTCTCTCTAGGCATTGAGAAGCCTCCTTAACCTGGAGAAAAATATGTCAATAGGATACTTACTGACACAGTGCAGTAGCTGCCTTCTGTGGATTCCCATCAAACCCAGCAGAAATCCAAGGTGCAGATAAAGGCAGCTCGTGCTCTCCCTCCCGGGGGCTCCGGATCACAAACCCCACACAAGAGCCCTTGTCAAGGTCAGGTAACATCATGGCGGCCTGTATTCATGGTTTGTTGTTACTCACATAATTTTCATGTGGAATGTTTTGGAAAACGATGGTCTCTAAATGTTGATAGACTCTTAAGAGGAGGAAGTCACATTTCTGCAAAAGAAGGAGGTGATGAATGAAAAACAGCTTGGAGAGAATGAGCCCATAGGCATGTCCCGACACACACACATGCCCACACTGGTCTTCTGCAACTTTCCTCAAACTGGTATTGCTCTTAGACACTAACATGTAAGAGCTGGCGTTTTTTCCCACTGCAAACAGGTTCTGGTGAGTTTTCAGTGTGGCTGAGGTGTCGTCAGCCTTACAGGTATCGTTTGGCAACCTCCCCCTCACCCTCTGACTGATGGAGTTCTCACATGTGAGCAGAAAGGAGGAAGCCTAGAGTCAAATCCAACTCACCAGCTTCTCCTCAGGCCCCATCGGCTTCACCAGGACATCAGATTCTTTGTAACGCTGTTGACTTCTTGAAGAATTTTCAATTGTACAGATGGTACACATCAAACTGATCCTAAGATATCAGATATAAGTAACCAAAACAAAGCTCAGAAATAGCTACCACCACTACAGTTGCCACAGTCCTCCTTTCAGGAATGGGCCCGTAGGCATAGTAGGAGTATGAAGAAGACACTTCCCAGGGCCTCCATGATTCTCTGTGATGACCCTTCTCCCACAGAGGGTAGCCACAAGTGGTGAGTGGGTGGAGGCTGGTATCAGGGTGGGTTGTGGGCTCTCCTCTCCCTGTCTGAGTTGTGGGGTAAACTAGGGGCCCTGCCCACCAGGCCTGAGTGTCAGAGACTGGACCTTAACCCACGGGGGCCTTGGGCTTACATTAGCCTGTTGAGAACATGGCAAAATGAGGGAACCAGTCAATGTATGCTTCCTTTCTAAATAAGCACAGAACAAACAGCTGGCATTTCCACTTCTGTGAACAGGAGTCTGTGCTGGGAAAGTTCTGGAAAGGACAGTAGCAGTGTGAAGGCAAAAGACCCAGCCACTGGCCTCAGCCACCCAGAGGAGAGAGGAGAACATTCTGCTCCTGCTGCCTGTGTCACTCAGCAGCTCCCGGGATCATACTGCTGGACCCTGGACCTCTGTCCCCGTTCTGTCCCCATCAGGTCACAAGGAGCTATTCAGTAGGGGGACTGTGCATGGCAGGAGGAAGGATATATAAAATGAGAGAGGGAGCTGTATCTAACAAACCCTTTAGTGTCCACAGGTGGGAGGTGACAGTCTCCATGAAAGAAGCTCCGACATTTTTCACAGCGGAAGAGCTTCCCTCCATCCTGGCAGATCTTGCATTTGTTTGGGTTTCCTCCCTGGAAGGTAAACAATGTCCACATCCCCACGGGCCCCTGCTGACCAGCACGGTGGGAATCTGGGACCCTCAGCCTTTGGCGACCTGCAGGGGCTCGTGTGTGTTTCCCCTGAGCTGTGAAGGGGCAGCTTGGGGTGCAGGTTGCAGAAGAAGGATCCCTGGTCTGCAGAGAAGTTCAGGACTGGTCTGTGTGACCAGAAATATATTTCCTATAAAACCAGAGATCCTAACACAGAAGGACAGGTAACAAAACAAGAGGGTGACTTTATAAAAATCAGATTGATTTTATTACATTGCAGATAAAACCAGTTTCTGAAATAAAGTATTAAATCCATTTGCTCACACCACAATGACTAACATAACTCTTGGCAATTCAGTATGTCAAGAAATTGATAAGATGGAATAAACTTTGGAGAAAGCACTGCATCCTGTTTTCTTGGCGGTAGGCTCCTCATGAGTTGAAGGGCCTGATAGGGGTCCCTGGACTATAGATTCAGGGCCTGGAGGGCCCCTGGACCTGTGACACTGCCTTTAGGTTGGAAAGACCATGACACAGATGGTCAGGTGGTGTCTGGAAGGATGGAGCTCTTTGGCTCTGGAAGCCTAAGGAAGATGCCCCATGACTCAGCTTGGTATGTAGGGTGTGGAGGGTCCATCTCTGAAAGGCCAAGGAGTGTGGCAATTGCTTTTTTGTATAAACAATGTGGAAGTCCCACCCCTTTGCCCCATCAACTAACCCTGGATTTCTTACTGGTCTCAATAGGTGGCCTTTAACCAGATTTCATTTTATTTGGAGAAGATAAAATTTGACAGTATTTGCATCCAAGTCTTGCAGCGCAATTCCTACTCATTAAACCCAATTAACTTTATAGAATAGATATGAGGTTACACTGTGTTATATACAAACACCTGTATTCATGACATAGAACTGACCTGTGACTGAGCCCTTTGTTAATGAAGAAAACACAGTGTAAGAAGTAATATTAAAGCTCAACGTCAGATGCTGCTGTGACATTTGGTAACATTGAGACGGCCTCGGAGCGCTTATCTGCATGTGTCTCTTCCCACTCTGCTCACCTGGATAAGGCCCCACAGCTAAACAATTCTTCTTGCCCAAGGATGGTGTGTAACCCCACCCACCCTGGAATATCCAGTTTCAGTTCCCTGTCAGCCATGGAATCTTTCACACAAGCCAGCCACAGCCTCCCATGGAAACTAGGGGGCCACCCGACTCTCCCCAGCCTCTGGTATCCACTCAGTTCCTGAGGGCGACTTCAGTGAGGTCTGCAGGGTAGGCTCTGCCCTCCTTCCTTGGTCTGGGAGTATATGTGACTAACAACATGCATCAATCCATCTGCTGAATGGCAGATACCATTACTTGTCAATTCCCCGATCTGTGCATTGGACAACCCTTCCTCATCAACAGGGTGAAGAAGAGGTTCTTACAATAGAAAACCACGTCATTGTATCTTTTTAAAATGAAAGTCAACATTTACATATGAAGGAGGAAGTACCAGGAACTATATCTCCCCCTGTTTGCTCGACTGATTTTGCCTTCTGAGAAAATCCAGGCAGTTTGAGAACCTCTTGAGGATTGTTCTATCCCGGATAGAAACATCCTGTCTATCCCATGGTCCATTGGAAATGTTCCCACCCTCCTGTGACCATCTGAGGTGACACAAATGAGATTGGCTTGGGGACTGGCCCACCCATGGATGGGTGCTGGGTTGGGGGGAGGTGGGCCATGAGGAGCAGGAGGAGGCAGGGGTGACAGCATTGACCTTTCTCTGCCACGACCCCTTCTGCTTCCTCCAAACCCGTGTGGTCTGTGCCATGTCTCCCCTGGGGCTAATCCCTCAGCCTCACTGCTGTATCTCCTCCCCTTCCCGTCCTTCTCCTTCTCCAACACTTGAACAGAATCCCTCAGGTTTCCACTTTGGCCATTCAGTCGGCCCCAGGTGGCCAAATCCCTCTCAAAGCTGCAGTTCCCTCGCTATGTCTCCAGCTCCCAGATGTCCAGCCTGTCTCTTGCCTTTGTGCACATCCCTGTGCTCACCCATCATGTCTTCTCAGGCCCTTAAAGCAACCCCAAACTCATGCAGTCGAAACTTGATGTGTTCTCCAATCCCCACACCCACTACATGTCCTTTCTTGACGCTTGCACATCATAAAACACACAGCTTCCACCGCAAACCTGAGAATGCATTCAGGATCTATACTCTTGCTCTTATGACAAATCCAGTCTATCCCTACTCCTTCTCATAGTAAAATTTAAGCTTCTTTTGTTAGCTCCCCTGTCCCTGTAGGGCCCACTGTAAATAAGGATGCCGAGACTCTAATGAATTGAAACTTTTTCTTTAAAAAATAAAGAAAAGTGGTCTGCTTTTCAAAGTCTGTATTATATCTCGATTAACAATATACAAAGAACAGATAGGTCCTTCTGAAGCCAATGGGCAGAGTAAGAGTAATTTGGAACATAGCTATATTATTTCTCTTAATGCAGAAAGTAATAAAAGATGGATAGTCACGAAGAATTATTTTGAATCTTGTTCTGGGATTTTGGGTGAATAGTCCTACCTTGGGGGAATCAGGATTTTGGTCATTTCTTTTAATTAAAAAAAATCCATTTTTTAAATTGGATTGTTTGTCTCCTGGAGTGGAGTCAGGAAAATGGGGGCAATTGTACTTGAACAATAACAACAAATAAATAAATTAAATAAATATAAAAATATCCATACATGAGAAAGTACAAGTGCCATGAGACATTTTGCCAAGAGCTGTCACTCAGTGTTCTGGGAGGATCCAGAATCACATGCCCAATGGGGACTGAGGCTGCTCCAGCCTGGAGGCCCGGGGACAGTTTCCTTCCCCTCACTGTAGGTGCCACAGATTATTATCGTCATTCTCCAGAAAGTGGTGACCCTCTTCCCAGAAGAACAAGACAATAATAAATGTAAACAGTGCACAAATATCTTGCATCCATAAATTTTAATAAAGACCAGGCCCTCATCTCTTTGTCTGTTTGTTAGCACAGCCACACATTTGAGTTGGCGGAGGAGAGTATATCAAGTGATGATGTCCTGGTCCCAGTGTCAGAGATTCCGATCAATTGGTCTGGGTGGGATTTAGGCATTGGTATTCTCCTTAAATCATAGAAGGAGTAACTAGTCTATTTTGATGGCTCCTTTTCACCCCCATCTCAAATGTTTACAATTCACAGATAACCTTGCGTACAACCTAATATTCAGTGGAGCATCCCTGCAGTCATGCAAAATAAATGAATAAAATAAAATGAAATGAAGAGCTGAGGGAGGGAAGGAGGGAGGGGGCAAGGGAAAGTGGTGGGGGGGAGGCGGAGACAAATGTATTTAAAAAGTAAATAAATTTAAAAAAAAGCGGGAACACACACACATACACACAAAAAATAAAATAAAATAAAATGAAATAAAATGAAATGAAATAAAATAAAATCAGAAGAGAGTAGAAGAGGAAACTTAATAATGATAATCCCACAGTTGAGAAACCATAAAAAATGTAGTATATATAAAAATCAGTTATGTAATATGAACTAATATAAAGTAATACTCACCTTTTTGTTCCTGCCACATGTTGTTTGAGGTTTAGGTAATTTTCCATTCTGAAAGATAAAAATATCTGAGTAAAGGGGTAGCCTGTATTTATGCACTGTGAGTATGGTATTGCGACCTCCTTGTAAATATTTCTTCTTGGACATCACACTGCCAGCTCACTGAGAAACCATCTCCCTCTCCTCACCTGAACTTATTCGAGAATTCCTCAAGGGTACCTAGAAAATCATCTTCAGAACAGTTTTCCTTGCTCTGTGCTTTTTCCTAACTTTTGAGAGGTTTTCCTTCAGAATGTCTGGCACCTCTCACCCCCTCCCCATTCCACCAGTGCCACGCACACCTGCCTCCTCACACCAGGGCTATTCCACCGACACACACGGGTCCCACACCTACATAGGGTCAGGCACTCTGGACAATGCTGGGCACACAAAGAAGGACAAACCCTAGAGGGGTCTAGAGAGACAAAGTGAATGCATGGAAGGGTAGGATTAAACAGGGTGAGAAGGGCCTTACTAGTGAGTTCAGGGGGCCCAGGGAAGGGGTGACCAGCCAGGTCAGTCAGGGAACATTCAGGCAGGAGGGACAGGGGAGCTGAGCCTTGCGGGTTGACTACACGTTTCTTGGGCTGAAAGACAGTGAAGTCATTTCAGGGCCCCATGTGGTGTGAGACACTGTTTAAATATGTCATTTCACACCCCAGGAGACTCCCTGGTTCTGCGCTGTCTATGTTACGAGTTTAAACTCCTTACTTTCACCTTAAATCCCTCTGCAAACAACCCCAATCGATGGATTATGCTGTGTCACAGGCAGTCCATCTACCTCAACCTATGGAGTGACGTTTATCATGGTTCTGGTTTTTACACCATTTTTCATGAGTGTCTTCTGCCCTCTTGTTTGACTGTAAATGGTCTTCTTTCTTTCAGAGCCTAACGTTGTCTGCAGGCACCTGTGTCAGAAGGACTTTTCCTTCTCCCAAACCCCTGCATCCACCTGACAGACCCCCTTTGAGAAATCAATGGGCTCTCTGGTACTGAGGTATGAGTGTGGGGCGCCTCTCCCTGGGGAAAGGATAGTCAGGGGCCTCAGGGCTCCAGACATAACTCAGCATTTACTGTGTGAGCAAAGAGTGACCTCATCGTCCACCACAACAAGGAAAGCTGCTGAAATACCTCCATCAGCCATTTAAGGGTTTTCCCACCGCACATCAGGCTGGTCTTCCAGTTGCTTGCTTTCGCAAGGTCCCCTTTTTCTTCAAATTCTCTGGGAGTGAACCAGTTTCCATCTTCACTTCTTATACACTTCACTGTGACTCCTGTAAGATTTGGGTAAGTGATTCTGACACCTCTTTGTCCTCATAGCTCAGATGTTGGTCTCCTGCCACATTGGATACAAAGTCACCCAATTTGGGTTTAAGATCAATAGCTGGAGAGTCTTTACACCCCTCTCATGGTTCAGAACCCCCAAACCCAGCCTGTAAGTTCGCTCCAAGGAGATTTCCTGCTTTGGATTAAAATTTCAAGTGGGGGCCCTGCTCCTCAAATGGCACTAATGCAACATCTGGGTTCTGCGTTGCAATTTTCTTCCAGTTTAATGGCATTATTGTGAAGAAATTTTTTTCCATCCTTGAAATTATGGGTAGCTGACATTAAAGTAATTGTGAAATATTAATTAGTGGAAAACTGGACTTATATACAGAAGACAGTCATACACTTAACCCCATTATTCATTAGAGAGAAGGAAATCAAAACCACATTACACCCCTAGGACGGCCATAATACAACAGACAGATAATCACAGTGCAAACGCAGAGAACGCGGAGCCCTCGGCATCTGCTGGTGGGACTATAAACTGGTGCAATACTGCGGAAAATAGCTTGGTTTTTTCCTCTATATGTTAAACATAAAATTACCGTTTAATTCTGCTATTTGACTCCAGAGTACGTACCAAAAAGAATTTAAAAGATATGTTCACAAAAAATCTTACATAAACCAGCATTATTCATGATAGCAAAAGAGTGAGAAAACCTAAATTGATACATAAGTACAGTATTGCATATCTATACCATGGCCTATTATATTGGAAGAAGGAAGGGATCTTATCTGACAATAAAAAAGAATGAAGTATTACTATATTTATAAAACTTGAAAACATCATATTTAGTGAAAGAATCAGTCACAGAAAAGCACATGCTCTATGAGTCAATTAATGTGAAATGCTTAGATTAGACTAATTTTTAGATCAGAACATAGATTAATCATTGCTTATGGTGGGCAAGGAGCTAGGGTTGGGTATGGGCATTGTCTACTGAGAGACATCGGGTCTCCTTCAGTGTGGGACAAAATGTTCTAAAATTAGATTGTGATGATGCTTTTATAATGTTGTGAATGAACAAAACAGACAAACAAAAACTCAACAGTGAATGTTACACCTTAAATGGTGAATTGTATATGTGAGTTGTATCTCAGTGAAGCTGTTTTAAAATGTTATGTTGCAACATTTCTTTATATTAACTGTTTTCATAGCCACATTACATATAATCTGATAGGAAGTTCACCATAATAGACAACGATTGAAAAGCTTTCTAATGTTAAAGCCACAAAACACATTATATTCATTGTGTGAACTAACTCTCAGAGTCACACCTGGAGGCAGGTTTGTACCTGTCACCCGTTTCTCAGATGAGAACGTTCAGGCTCGGGGAGGTCCCAGCCTTCACACTGCCGCTCTGGGCAGGGCTGAGGCTGGGACTCAGGGTTTCTGACTCTAAACCCTGTGATCTCCCCACCACACCTGACACCCTGTCCTGGCGGTGAATATCCAGAGGGGACACAGGAGGCGAGCTTGCAGGCTGAGGGCCTCTTCCCTGTTGTATCTGGTTCAAAGTAAAAAGTGCAGCATTTTCCACCCAGAGACGGACAATCCTGCACTTCTCTTTGGTTCCTTGGGCTTCCTCATGGGCACTTGCATGTGGGAGTGAGCACTTAATATACACCATTGTTTAAAGTGTAAACATATCATCTTAGGGATCCTTCCTCCTTCTTTCCAGCCACAGTGGGGCCTCAGTTCCTTGAACAACTGGAAATTCACACGGGTAATTCCATTATTTCATGTGATTCCTTCATATAGGGGTTGCAAGTTAAAGTAAACCTTGAAACCTACCTCGTTCCAATTTTCTCTTAATTAAGTTCCCCTCCACCTCCCTACAGGTCACAGGAAGTATTTCATCTTTAAAATCCACAGGCACATCTGGGTACTGTCTTGCCCCTGAAAGAGAAGATTCTTCATTCCATCTCATTTCACAGTTGTACACGGACAACTTCCTACCATGTGATGGTTGTGTCTATAAAGTCATAGGGGTACTTAGGAAGCTTTATTCCACAAATCTCCAGAGTTTCAGAATCTTTCAGGGGCACTTTTGATACATAAGCACAGAACATCTACCTTCATTTCACCTCTCAACCCACCCCCCAGTCAGAACGCTGTAGCAGAGACACCAGGCGTCCACACGAGACTGTCTCAGCCCCGCCCCCATGTGGTCACCCCCTGATTCTCGGGTGACAGTGGCACACACAGCTGCTGCCCTGGTAGGAGGGGGCTCGGCACCGGGGCTATTTCCCTGCACTCAGGTCGCTGCAGACAAAGTCCAGGCCGTGCAGGCCTCTTCCTGTGTGAGCTCTGACGCAGGGGCAGAGAGGACAGCGATGGGCCGACCTGATGGACACGGCGTCTGCTGTTTGTGTTCGCTGCTTTGCCTCATTCTCATTTCTCCCCTGCATCAGCTTCTCCAGAGCTGAAAGGGAAGCCCAGGAAGCTCTAGAACAATCTGGAAATTGTATGGCTGGCTGGGCCATTTGCAGTCTGACAATGGTGCGTCTTTCATCAAAAGCTACACCCAATGCTCTGATCATCTAACTTTGTGACCTTGTCTCCTACTGTCCACACATTTCCCTGTTAGGGCTCTTTGGTCAGAGAAGTCTGCTGTTCCCTTCGAAGGCAGAGAGGGATCAACTTCTTCCTGCACTGTGACCAGGACAAAAATGTTTGGGGATTAATGGTATTATAGAGACCAAGTCTGAAAATTCTCATTTCTGCTCTGACCCTTGCTGGGAATGACGCCCTGTTCTTTCCCCAACCAACCTGGAGGGTACCTCCTTCAGAATCGCTAGAGGTTTCAGATTTTATTTTGGTTATAGTTTTTGGAAATGCCTTTTCCCTGCTTGTATCTGACCCTTCTGGATGAAAAGTGTGAATGACAATAGGAGATTATAGAAAGAAAGAGAAAGTTAGAGCTAGTGGAATGGTACAAAGTTTTTGTGGCAATGGAAGAAGAGCAAAGATCCAGGCACTTGAGGAGGAAACACCTACGAGGTATGGGAGGTGGAGAGGCATTAATGACATCTGTCACTCAGAGTTGCCCTGAGTCTTCCTTCCAGAAGGAAACCACTCGGTTCAGGTTTTTCACCAAACGAATACTGAGTCTTCCGCTCAGCCTCATGTGAGGAAACAGGGGCTGGTGCCAATACCTGACATGTACTCTGGACAATGTCTGCACACTGATTCTCAGTCATTCAGTGGTGGGGTGTAGCAGTGGCAAATGCCATGAGGACACTATGAACAAAGAGGCCAGATTGGAGAGACTTCCCTGTCCCCACCTCCTTCTAAACCCCTTCAGCACTGGACAGAGCTGAGAGCTGTAAGGATCCCAGCTGGCCAGGGGCCCACCTTACCCCGGCGGCTGTGTTCCCCTTAGGAACCTCAGCAACTGCAAGTGCCTGTCTTTCAGGGTCGCCCTGCGTGCCCTTGGGATTGTACCTCCTGCGTGAAAGCCAGGCCTTCACGTGCCTCTCGTGCAAACATGGTGACTTGCACTGTAGGGGTGATTATGGGAGACTTAAAACAACCATTGTCTAGGAAATTTGTTAAATACTGAAGGAAACCAACTGAGCGAGTTTGTTCCTAACCTCCGGTGGTCCCATTAATCATCGTGGCTGGTGGAGTGGTGTCCTCATGGGGAAACTGCCAGGACCTGCTGTGTGAGGCCAATTTGTTGGGAGGCAATTGTCCAAGGCTTGCCACATGCCCAGAGTCTCTTGTCACAGATGGGTGAGCGGCAAACAGTTTTGGAAGCCAGGATTAATGTAGCCCTCCAGGTCAGAGGGCAAATTTGTTTTCCGATCAGTATAATGAGAGGATATTTCCCTCCTTAGAAATATCCCAGGGTAGTGAAGTCTCCCTCCTCTCCTCAGAGAAGATTTTCTTAAGTTCCAAGGTGATGGTCATGTTCTGTGTCTTTATAAAGATTTGGATTTTACAGGAGTATAATTTAGTCAGAACTGAAAGAAAGGTATAGTTAATACTTGCACATCTCACTGTAAATATTATCTCAGGAGAAAAAAAGAAGAAATGCATATATTGAAGTCTAGTTAATAATATCCATGTGAAGTGTTTGGAAGGAAGCCTACTCTTGTCTGCAACTTTAAAGTGTTTCAGACTTGAGGATGGTTAGTGGATGGACAGGGAAATGGACAGATGGACAGAAATGCGATAGAGCAAGAACAGTGCATGTTAATCATGAATCTCTGTTTACTGTAAATTTTCCCAAGTTTTCAGTAGTTTTAAAATTTTCATAATTCAATATTGGATAAAGACATTTTGGCAAGAAAAAATGCTTATTAACCAAAAAGTAACAGTTAAAATACAAGAATATCCATCAGCGACACAATATTTTCTAGAAGACAATTCAGTAATCATATTAGTATATTGAGGAGAAATAAATGTTCACCTAGAATTTTTACTCTTCATAAGAAAATAAATGCCAATTCGCACTTACCACACTTGGCAGTGTTACCACTTAGACAGTCTCAATGCAAGAATGAACAATTTTTTTTCAGGTAGACCAGATATGACATCGACAAAAGAAACAATGAGTGCATAAAATGGTGAAAAATTCAGGTAAGTAAATAGTGACTGCAAAATGATAATAGTTTCAAAATTTATATTAAAAAGATTAATAACAAAGTGCTAAACTGCAATAACTTAATGATAGAGATGGGATGTTTAATTTGAGGAAATCCGTGCTAAGATCTTTGACATTTTTTGAGATTAAGGTATGGTTAAAGAGATTACAGGAATTTTATCTCCAATTTCCACACTTGAAGAGAAAAAAGATGGAATGTAGAATTCTATCTCAATCAACATATGCCCCTGTATGTCTATCTCAAGCAGAAAAGACATACAAAAAAACACAAAATGTGTGGTTAGCAAGAATATAGATATATCAATCCACATATATCAGGGACATAATAAAATTAACAAATAAAACTTAACTATTAAGGGATTATGATTTCCATAGATTACAAAAAATGTCTCATTACAAGAGGTATAAAACAAAGCTGCATAAGAAGTTTTAACAAAAAAGAGGTAAAAAATATAAAAGTTAATGTAACAGTATTAGCCCTCTGAAAAAAGATATTTGAAGGCAAAGAGCATGAGTAAGGATGAAGAGGAACACTTTGTAACTATAAAAGAATAAATACAGTAAGTAATAACTACCATAGATAGCATCAAAGTATTTAAAGTAAAACAATAGTACAAGAAGGAATTGACAAATATTCAATCATTTGGAAAATTTGACACATCACTATATACAGACCTAGTGGATCAAAGACAGCCTAATTTACTATGGTTATAGTAGACTTAGACAGTGAATTTCATAAAAAATATGTATACAGGGAGAAGTCAGAGCCAACATAGAGGTCAAATGTATATTATTTCAAGGGACTTAAAACATTTACACCTATTGATCACACATTTAGTTCCAAAAGAACTTTCAAAAAATTTTAAAGAGTTAATGAAGTCAGGTCTTAATATTGTATTCCAGGTACCCATTTTTAATTCCTAATTTACTAACATTTATGTTTTTGGAGATTTCATAGTCCAGGTAAAATAGCATAGCTCATAACTTCCCTAAGAGCTGGCAGAACTACCAGCTTAAGATTCGATGAGTAAGGATCTCAGCTGGTGGCAGAGGAGGTGAAATCTACACTAATCTCCTCCCAGGACCAAATTGGAATTCCAACTACCTTATAGAATAATATCATGAATAACCAGCCAAACAATAGCAGGAGAGAAGCTTTATAACCAAGGACTTATGGAAGAAACCACATCACTACAATGAGACTGTTAGGAAGTCCAGAGGTGTGAGAAGGCTGGCTCGGCTCCCACAGGTAGCAGCTGAATTTCCAGAAGGATATTTTAGTGGCCAGAGAGTGTTTCCAAGATCAGCACAACAGCCTATAACACCAAACTGGAAAAGCCTACAAATGACATCTGGCTGTGAAACATAGCATGGTTTCTGTCTGCCAGGGAGAGAGGGCTAGAAATGCAGAGAGCCTCTTCATGGGTCAATGCACAAAATTTCATTCACAGCCCCTTACCCTGGGCCCTGGCAGAGAGAAGGCAGACTGGACTAGAGCTGCATGAGGAGACCCTGTGCTCAGTCATTCCCCATATTTCAGAAGCCATCTTTCTCAGGCAGAGCACTCCCCTCCATGTGACATCAGCCTGAGGGAAGCAATAGCCACATATGCAGGAATCCCTCTTGCCCTACACTGTGGAGCTTCAGCTGGGCTGCTGAGGAGTACAGATTGGGGCACTTTCAAAATGATTAAGCTTAACAGAAACCCTGTAAGATGAGACAGATCTTTGGGAGCTCTGAGTCTATAGCAGACTTTCCCACAGGCCCCGTGTTGGTAAAAGTAGGCCTTGGGGTGCAGCCTGGTTCTTTTGGCACACACCCAGGCCCAGCAGAGTAAATTATTGATAACTCCAAACAGGTTGCTTAGGGCCAGTCACAGGCAGCATTTGACACAGGGCTACCCAAGAGTCTGTGCAGATTTCCCTGAAACATAGAAACACAAAGAGGCAGCCAAAAAGGGAAACAAAGAAACAGGCTCCAACTGAAAGAACAAGAGGATTCTCCATAAGAGCAAAATAAAATAAAGGCAAGCAAATTATCAGATACAAAGTTTAAAGTAGTGATTATAGGATGCTCAACAGCATTAAAAAAGACATAGAAGCTATACAAAAGGACCATTCAGAAATCAAGAATGCAATATCTGAAATAAATAATACACTGGAAGGAATAAACAGTAAGTTAGATGAAACAGAGTGTCAAGTCAGTGATTTGGAAGACAAGGTAGAAAAACCACCCAAGCAGAGCAGCAAAAGAAAAGCAAATTAAATGAGAAGAGAGTTTACGGGAC